TTGTTTAAGTTTTGTTACTGTCGTATGACTTTTTTTATCATATTGTTTCGGACCTAACGGTGAACACAGTTTTTGCCTGGAATGTTGAGATGGTTGGTTGCACAAGCCAGCACAATAGAATACAGGGACCAAAGCTATTAATCATATCCAAATACGGACAAATCGAACGGAAAACAAAAAAGAGGGCAAACTGAAAGCACACAAAGGCCTTAAGATAGGGGCGGCTTGTTAATCTCCCAATGCATACGATAGCACTAAAAAATCTACAAACAAGCACGCACATAAGGCACTTCGATAGTCGAAATCCTGTGATTTCTGGTCGTAGATTACGTTCGGGTTTCAATAAGCACGATTTCACATCGTGCTTATTGAAACCCGATGGTTAGCTACACTGAGTGATATGGTTGGGTGTCGCAAACAGTGGTGCTCGTGCATCCACTCGTTATTTTTCTAACACCACTCTATATGTATTCCCCATCTTCCGCTTGAATTTGCTTCGACATTCCAATCTTCACTTCGCTCTTTTATCCAAATGGGCAACCAAAAGCAGCAACCAAAACCGGCGCACGAAAGTGCATGGTAATGGTTGTTAAAAATGAACTGAAACTGAAGCACGATGTGGTGCTTAAAGGTGGAAAAATAGAGTGAACCTGGCTAGTTACAAGGTACCCTTTTGATATGAAGCCTTAACGATGCACAGATATTAAATCAAATGGAATTTAAAGCCCATGTGAGAGAGCTCTGTCAATTCAGCCACGGCAGCTACCACAAATTTAAGGGTCGATGAGGCCGTACACCATCGGTCACGAAAAGAAAAACGGGAACCAGTTTAATGGTAAGCCATGGGTAGGTGGGACACCTCGCTTCATCGAATAACCAGTCACCGACGATTACACAGGGACTGAATCAGTGACGTGAGAGCTACACAAGTTTATTGTGCATTCTTACAACGAGCGAACACGATAATAAAATACATGCCCTGAGTGCCTACCCGTGTGATACTCTGATGGTATGATATGGCCTTCAGGCCTCCTCTGCAAGCCAGGAGAACAGGCTGTACTGCCGTGACTGGTAGTGCTAGACTTAATGAGGAGATTCGAGCTACGACTCTGCTCCCGCCCTGTATTCTGTTTCGCCTCCGAAATCGTCAATATGATCGGGAGTGGGTGTCTATGGTTGTGGTTGGTCACCCTTTCCTTGCACCTCGCGAAATGCTCCCATACGGCCAAGCGTCCCAAATAGCCTCTGCTGAGGAAGTCCTACTCACTGCCTTGTCGTGGCGGTGTTTTCTCACTAAACTGAGAGGGCGAAAAGCCGACATCCGGGGCTATAACCGGGTTGATGGACAACTGGTAGTTCACCTAGGGGAGTTGGCAAAAACCCTGATTTCAAGCCAACCAAAAAGAGGCGTACGAACTACCCTCACTCACACTCTCATTAGTGTGGCAGTGGTCACCGGCTGGATTGGGCATCAAGGCGTATTGGGCACCGTGGACGTGTGACCACGTCCGAAAGGTGTGTGATATGATGAACTGGACACCGGTCCCCAATGGATTGCGGTTTCCACACACCGCCATACTGCCTTGTGGGACGGGCTTTGGATGGTTCAAGGTTCCGGTTGTGAACTCCCTAAGGAACTTCAGCTGTTTCGGCCTAGCAGTATCATGCCCTCGAGCAAATCATGGACCTTTGTTCTTTCTGTACCGTGATTTCTTTGGCACAGAGTGTGAAAATATTTAGTCTATGCAAAACCAGAGTGAACTAATCCGAGCTATCGGTTTAAAACAAGGATTGAACAAGCGACACGATTAGCGACAGCACACTCAACCGCTAGATGGTTGCCACCATTTTGTGAAATTATATATAAACCCTTGAATGATTCTATTAAGAGATAGAGTCGATTTCGTATTAAAGCTAGCATTATATGGGGAGGTAAAACGTCGGATGGATACAAAAATGAATTAATGATGATGGCACCTCATGTCTGTGTCTGGTGTTGTGCCTTGTGCTTATTCCATTAAAATTTGTGTCTATATCGGCAGGTGAACCGTGGCACAAGCATTTTAACGATAAAGAAATCGATCCCGGAAACTGACGGGTCACTAAAACCATAGAAACAAAGCGAAAGCGGATGCGTAGAATACAGATAGACCTACTTGTTGATAGGATCGAACGGTGGTAGTCTGGTTTGCATTCCCAAATGTCTGCTGTCGAATGCGACTGTACCCGGAGCCGGATATTGTTCCGCGCGCCTGACAACATGTTGCGTGTCATAAAGCAGGAAACCGGAGAACAAGAGAAGACCACCGTACAAACTGATTGCAGCCATGCCCGAACCGATACGACTCATAGGTGACAAAAACATGGAACCTGGGGACGGAGCACCAGTGGGGCAGGAGGGAGAGAGAGCAACAAAGGATAAGCAAACAATGAATCCAATGCGATATATCAGAGCATAAAAACAGTGAGATGAATGAGCTTCGAAGTTGCATAGTTCTGCTGGAGAGCTGGAATAGTTTGCAGGTTAAATTCTGGGGTTCTATGGAGACTTCGAAGAAAATGTTTTCATTGCCACAGTAGAACTGGTGTTCATTCGGACAGCAGCCAAGTTTCCCATCCTTGAAGTGTGTCACTGGTAAGAGGGTTCGTGATTAGGAACTTTCGGTGTCTTCAGTCAAAGACAATTTGAATCTTTTGTGCTCGAGTCACGACGGGAGACTGATCCGAATACAGTTTATTCAGCCTTCTATGCTGCGCTATAGCTTGCCCACCTAGCTGGTTATTTCAGTCAGGCTCGAAGTATGCAAATGGCGTAAGTTAGGGAAGACGTTGTTCAGGCATTCGTAGGGTGTGCGCATCACCTCAGACGAGGCAGTGAAAAATAATTGCGAAATAGAAGACTATTTGACCCTAATATACGTAATCTGACCTCATCCCCTTACGAAGAAACTACACTACACCTGGGCATGGTGTGACACCTTGAGTACCTCCATGACCTTGCGAGCTACATAGGATGGTTCTTCACTGACGCAAATCTAATCATGCGTGAAAGATTAATGGGGAGAGGCCAGACAAAGCTCGCTCTCACAAGACCAGCTGCTAGGGCACATTCTAGCGTCTTTGTTATAATACACCAGTTTGTGATGGACAGCAGACGGAGTGGAATCCCATAGTCACGAAGATCTGCTGATGGTAACCGGCAACCTAAACCCGAGATTCGGAATGGCGAACCACATACGGCCAAATTAGGTCAGGCGTGGTATTGAACGGGACGACCCTGGAGATGTCACCTTAGCAAATAAACACGGTGATGGGCAGCATAATAGTAAAAGAAACCCACTAGATGAACTTACGAGTGGGGTACCTGGCACTTCCTCCCGACGGTGGGAGAAGTGTCCGCGCTTCACTGGACAGCTACTGCCCACCCAAGCTGGACAGCCCCCAGCCAATGAAATCCTGTCGTGTCCACATTCCACTTCTCTCATTGGTTGCATGAGGCTAAGGGCCAATACCGAACAGTGGACTATCAATAAAAGCATCAGTGGAAGACAGTGAACCCGAATCCGAAAGTCTTATGTGACAAGTCTCCAGAAGTTCCCAAACGGGTGCTTCGTTCACGCTCCGGCGTTGGATCTACGCTCCACTGCCTTATGAACCAGACTATTGAGTCGAACATTGCGGTTGGGGTTACCCACAAATTCCTGCTGCCTTGCACGTCAGACTTTTGAGTCAAATCTCCGGTTATAGTTCCCAAAGAAAAACCCCTTCGTCGGTGTTCAGTTCAGTTCTTACAAACATTAACCATGCACTTTTGTGCGCCGGTTTTGGTTGCTGTCTTTTCGTGCCTCATTTGGATAAAACAGCAGAATGAAGATTAGATTGTTGACAGCAGATTCAAGCGAAAGATAGCGAATTTATATAGACTGAACTTACAAGAATAATGAGTAGATGCATGAGCGCCACTGGTTGCGACACCCAACCATATCACTCGTTGTCTCTAACCACCGGTGATTGCGATCTCGGGGTCCCCAGCCAGGCAGCCTAACAGGGCGTATATCGGCTAGTCCCTTGATCAGGGTAGTTTGTTTAGTTTGACCGCTCTTGATCTTTTTCCAACCGCTACCTGCTTTGGCAAATATCGCTCGCCGTGGAAACCTATTTGGTGACATGCGTCGCACGTCCCAACCAGCTTAATCTATGAAGGTCGACCACTTGCTCCGGTGAGCGACCGCGGTTACCTAAAACTCTACGCCATCCATATATACATAGTTCAAACACGTCTGGCACCAGAATGTGTGCCAAACAAATCATGGTACAATAATCTTTATAAAAAAAGAAAAACGTTCCATGATTTGCATGTGGGCTGAATACTGCCAGGTTGNCGCCCACTACCTGCCTCGGCAAACAGCGCTCGCCGTGGAAACCTATTTGGTGACATGTGTAACACATGCCCCAACTAACGTAATTTATGGAGGTCGACCATTTGCTTCAGTGGGCGACCGCATTTATCTAAAACTCTGCGCCTGACCTCAGTATTGCTCGCCCGGTTTCCCCACCAGACCCGTGCGATGCTACGTAGACAGCGGTGTTCGAACACCGACAATCTATTTTGATCCTGTTTCCGTAATGGCCAAGTCTCTGCACCGTAAAGCAGAACTGGCCGAACTGCTGCAGCATATACTCGACCCTTCACAGACAGCCGGATATCGCGACGGCGCCACAGAGGTCTCAAGTTGGCAAATGCCAATCGAGCCTTCTGTATGCTCGCCGACACTTCACCTGTGATGCGTCCGCCAGGTAAGATTTAGCTGCCCAGGTAGCAAAACTTGTCTACTTTCCCTTCAACTTCCCCGGTCAGGGTGAGGCTGGAGATTGGGTCAACCCAACCTTGGAGCAGCATTTTACACTTTGAAGGTGCAAAGCACATGCCGAACATCGCTACACTAGCCCTCAAACTATCCAGAAAAGCTTGCAACTTACCTGAATATTTACTTAGTAGCACAATGTCGTCTGCATAGTCTACATCAGACAGTCTGCCATCAGGAAGTAAATCGATACCGCTATTCCCGAACGAGTATAGGGCTGTTTCAAGAATTAAATCAATAACAAAGCCAAATAGAAATGGAGAGAGAGGGCAACCCTGTCGAACACCACTTTCCGTGGTGAACTCGGGTGAAAAGGTGCCGTAGGCTCGGACTCGGCTTCGGATATTATTATAGAGGGATTGTAATATTGAAATAAACTTCTCGGGAACGCCCTTCAGGGAAAGGCAGCGCCAGAGTTTAGGGTGGTCGACTGAGTCGAAGACCAAGAGATCCAGGAAGATGGAAATGGTGGGTCTACGAAAAGAGTGTGTTCTAGGATTTGACGAAGAGCAAAGATGTGGTCGATACAACCTCGACCAGGTCACGTGTGCACTCTCCACGAGCGGCAGACAATCGACGGAGTATGATCCCGGCGAGAAGTTTAGAGGCAATGTTAATTTAACCAATTCCTCTTTGGTTTTTACAAGAGGACCTGTCGCCCTTCTTGTCAACTGGCAGTATTTGCACAGCTGGACCGAGTGGGGGGAAGTCTTGTGTCGAAGGGGATCAGATGAACTGATCCTCAAAATGTTGTGCCTATCGATTTACACGGCGCTGCTGAATATGGATCAGTGTGCCATCGGACTCCTTAATTACCTCACTTTACTTTCCTTGGACCTGTACTCCTAATTAATCGGAAAAGATTGCGAATATTACCGATAGTCGCAGCTTTCTCCATCTCTCTACACTTTCCTACCCACCACTTCTCGCGGTCATTCCTCAGACTCTTGATGAGCTGGCGTTTAAGGGATTTGCACGCTTGTCGTAGTTTGAATCCGAAGGAATGGCTTTGCGAGCGTCTAGCAGGGCAACTGAAGTCGGGGAGATCCATCGTTTTTTATTTGATCGTGAGTCAGAATTTGCTGTTGTTTCGATTGACATTTCAATCGCTTCCTTAATTGCCGTCCAGTGCCCATTGAGTCCTCCAGCTGATGGTTGTGCTGAGAGACGACCTGATAGTTCCGCTTCGAAGGCCGACTTGCAAATATTGTTGACATTGTATCTTGGGCATCCGTTTTCGGTGGCTTTTCTGCCTTTGTTTACACGGCGTAGAAAGAATCTCGTTCGTAGGTGTCCACGGTTGTTGACCATTAGGAGCGGCAGTCTTCAATGGATCCTCGCCAACGGTGGCTCACGGCAATTTGGTCGATTTGAGTCCAGCGCTGTGAAGCGGTTGGCGGTCTCCATGTAAGACGGTGGTGTTTTTTGTGCGAGAAGTTCGTGCTTAACAGAAGCAGTCCGTGATCAGCACAAAGTTGGAGTAGGCGTTCCCCGTTGTCAGTTCTGTTGGCCAGGATTGCATGCGAACCTCCAGGTAGCCTCCCTGATTCGTCCAGGGATCCCACTTGAATATTGAAGTCTCCAGCGACCACCACGATGTCCGTTGATCGAGCACTTCGGAGCAGTTGAGAGCGGCCCTTATAAAATTCATCCTTCACTTCTGGCGAACTGCAATTTGTCGGTGCATACGCGGATACGACGAATAAACATCGAAGTTTCCTTCTCTAGCTGTTGACTCGTGCTGAACTATCCAGACGTACGGCGTAAAGTCGGCTGTCAACAGGGGTTCAATCGAGAAGTGAACGATCGGCCTTGACACTCAGCGGTGTGGGCTGCCGCGAAGTACGTCGTGCCCTAAAGTCTAACGCAAATATCGATAAAAACAACGGCGGTCTCTGGAGATGCTTCAAGACACAAACAAAGGATGCCGTCGACCGTGGCTGACCTGCTAAGTGCCCGGCAGAACCCTTCGTTCTCTTGCCACATTTATCACAACGCTCAAATCCCTTAAATGTCAGCTCATCATGAGTATGAACGGCCGCGAGTAGTGGTGGATGAAAAAGTAGAGAGAGATGGAGAAAGCTGCGTCTATCGGTAATGGTCGCACTCTTTTCAGTTTATTTAGGAAAACAGACACATAGGAAAAAGGCGTAAATGAGAAAATTACAGAAGCGGATGTCACAATGATTCATTCAACATAGGTAATGCCATCTTGATCGATGGGCTGAACAGTTCGAGGCTAAGAGCAACTGACGCCCATCGACATCTGACCTATCACTCTTCTTGAGGAATTCACGACCGGAGTCTTTGGTTAGCCAAAGCCTGAACCGCAAGGCGGCGGGGCGGTGTGCAAAAACCAGTAATCAAATGTCCAGTACATCGGAACATACGCCCTTTAAACGCGGTCAAACGTCCAAGGTGCCTAATACGCCTTGATGCCCAATCGAGCCGGTGCCCACTGCCACAAGTGAGGTGTGTGATCCGTACGCCTCTTTTCGGT